CTCTAACAGCATGGTTTGAGGCCAACAGTGAGCCTGCTATTTCTAATCAAGCAAGGAAGTACACGTATGTGCAGTTTCCACAAAATTTTGTGTTTAATAAATGTTCTAAGAAATGGAAGCTACGTATATGTGGAAACGTCATTGGACATATGTATTTTGTATATCCAGGTGTGGGTGAGTGCTATTATCTACGCATGCTTCTGAACGTGGTACATGGAGCACAATCTTTTGAACACTTGCGCACTATAAATGATATAGAACATGTAACATTCAAGAATGTATGTCAAGCAATGGGACTTCTTCAAGATGACTTAGAACTAGATCAGTGCCTTAAGGAAGTATCAATAATACAAACTGGACAACAATTACGGCATCTATTCGTCACTATTTTGATCAACTGCCATCCAACAGAACCTGAAAATCTTTAGAAAAACCACAAAATTGCACTTTGTAATGATATACTATATCAAGCACGGCAGCAGATACAAAATCCAGTTCTTCAGTTATCAAGAGATGATATTAGAACCAAACATTATATCTCTTAAATGACATCCTAAAGAAATGGGAAAAAACTTTAAATGACTTTCCTAATATGCCAGTCCCTACTATATACAATAATGTAAGCAATTCTCTGATAGCCGAGGAGCTAAACTATGATTAACTAGCACTTACGGAGTTTGTTGACCAAAATATAAAACTTTTGAATAGTGATTAGCAAGCTATATATAATGAAGTCTTGCAAACAGTTAAGCAAAGAAATACTGTATGCTTTTTTTTAGATGGACCAGCTGGCACTGGAAAAACTTTTCTATATTCGATACTTCTAACAAAGATACATTCACAAAGGAAAATAGCCCTAGCAGTTGCCTCCTCTGGGATTGCTGCATTACTACTTAATAATGGCCCAATGGCACATTCACGTTTTAAAATTCCTATTGAACTCAATGAGGATTCCACATGCAACATATCAGTACAATCCAATCTTGCTGAACTTCTCAGACAAACGACACTCATTATTTGAAACGAAGCTTCCATGATATACCGATATGCATTCGAAGCTGTAGACTATACTTTGCGTAACATTATGAGTACAGTCAATTCACAGTTAAATCATGAATCATTTGGCGGGAAGGTTATCATATTTGGTGGTGACTTTAGACAAGTTCCTCTAGTTGTTCCAAAAGGTAGGCAAGAGGATGTTGTAGATACATGTATATGCTGATCTTATTTATGGCGACATATCAAAGTCAGAAAATTAACTATCAATATGCGTTTGCAGCAAATAGTTGATACATTAGATGCAGATATTCGTAAGGAGTTTGCTGAATGGTTATTAAAGATTGGTGAAGGACATATCCCTGAAATTACACATGATAGCGGCTATATTTCCTTACCATCAGATATCATACTTAAAAATAACATACTCCAAGAATTAATTAACTTTGTATACCCAGAACTTTCAACACGATCACAGGATGCAATGTATTTAATTAAGAGAGGAATTCTTGCTCCACGGAATAATGAAGTTGATACATTGAATACAGAAATACTTGCCCAATTTCCCGGAGAAGAAACAATATATTACAGTGCAGATGCATTAAATTAGAACACGGAAACATATAATCCTGCTTAGGAGAGTCTTTATCCAGTCGAGTTTTTAAATTCATTGAAGTTTAGTAGATTACCACCTCATAAATTGATATTCAAAGTTGGCGTTCCTATTATCTTACTTCATAATATTAATACAGCTGATGATCTTTGTAACGAGACTTGATTGATTGTTAGAGCACTTCAACAACATATTATTGAGGCAGAACCCATTAGCAGATCTCTAGCTAAAAAAAGAGTATTTTTGCCTCACATTTCACTATCTCCTACAACTACATCAATGTCATTTATTTTGAAACGTCACCAGTTTCCATGTTAACTTGCTTTTGTGATGACTATTCACAAGGCTCAAGGGCAAACAATGAAGTGGCTTGGACTATATATCGTAACTCCTGTATTTTCACATGGACAGTTATATGTCGCATGTTCAAGAGTAGTATCAAGACAAAGACTACGCATCTTTCTTGGACAATCCCAACAGGAATTTTCACAGTGTACTAAAAATGTTGTCTATTCCGAAATACTTCAGCAATAACCTAATGCTATAATTTATAAAAAAAATATCGTCATTAATAATATTAATGTTAACATTAATTATATATACTTTTGATTGATAAAATATATCATTCCCTTTTTCTAATACTACAAATCGGCTAAAATATTATGTAACATATTCATTGATAATTATTAATATAACAATAACATGTCGTTTAACAACGGGTCTATATCTAGTTATTATAAAAAATTTTATTATTATACTTTGATAAGTCAAATATACTATATTTTTTAAACTATTAAAGATTTTTCAATGTAAGTAATATTTTAAGCAAAAAAGTTAATTATCAAAGATTTTTTAGTAAGCATTATTTAAATAAAATATTAGAATTCTGAAATAGAGTATATATATATTAAGGACCCTAATGATTCTTTTTGATTCTGTATTCGATTCTCAAGTTTATATTAAATTTAATAGATGGGGTATACTTACCATTATTTTTAATAGTGTTCCAAACTTCATGCAATTCCTCATGATTCTGTTTGATTCCAATTTTCAGAACTATAATATATATTATATAAAATTGTATCAATAGAAATTTTATTTTAAAAAATTAATAGGCCATTAAGAAATAATTAATATAAATGAAAGATATATAAAATTTTGTTTTGATAAGTTATTAAATAAGTATTATTTTGAATAAAAAAGTGAAATATTAAAGTAAAATTATTACAAATATATATATAATAAAATTATACTTTGGTAGGTTATTGAGTAAAAATAATAATTTAATACTATAAACCTTATTATTAAATACTTTGATACAGTATATTATAAGATATATTAACAATTTGACACTATATACTATATCATCAGATACTTTGATATATTATTATATATGTTAACCATTTGACATCATATGCTTTATTTTTAATGAATACTCAAGTGCATTATAATAGTTAGTAACTTGACATTATAAATCTCATAATTGAGCCATATCCAAATGAATTATATGAATACAAATACTATTTCAGCACTATGTATCTCAAACCTGATCCTTATCAAGGAATTAATAAAAAAGCTAAGAGTACCACATATCCAATTTAGATATAGTCCTTACATTGGGTCTGCAAATAATGATACATAACCGAATGAATTGTTAGCTCAGCAATGAAAATCAGATGACAATGACAATGCTGTCATATTTTTGTCATCAAAAATATGCTATAAAATTATATTATGACACCTTAGTCCATGTTATAAAATTTGGTTCACAACACCTTAGTCTGTGTCATAAAAATTGAATAATGACACATACTTGAATAGGAATAACCTAGACTAAGTGGAAATAATATAATTATACTATTTCTACTAAATACAATGTAAATAACAGTATTTTAATTTGAATAAAAACAAATGATTGAGTATATATAAATTGATATTCATACCTAATAATCTAGTAGACTGTACAGATAATTCAAAAAATTATTTTTTGAATAGACTTATTACTAAAATATCCTGAATATATAAAGAATGCTAAATAGATTATATGTAAGATTTGAATATTTTTCTTTATTGGTATTGATGACAGTGTTAACCGTATTTTATGATCGATAAAGATGTAATGGAATTGAGCAATATTTAATAGCAAATTATATTGATAATTAGTAATAGAGAAAAAGATTTTTTTTAATAAGTACATTTATTATGGCTATACAGTATATTGTGCATAATTAAACGTTATCCCTAATATGAGTCTGCTCTTATGTCGCACCTGACTCCCTACAACTGTATAAACTTCACATTTTTAATAAAAAAGAAATTTTATGTAATAATTTAATTCCCATTATTTAAACATATAAAGATCAATCAATACAACTAAAAAAAGGGGCATCTAATTCTTTGATCTTTTAATCCAATATTCCGCTTTCTTCTCATCTTTTAAAGTTCCGACTCCATATTGATAACAATTTGCAAGTTTATGTTGTGCATTACAATTTCCATCTTCAGCAGACTTGAGATACCACCGAAATGCTTTTTCATAATTTTGAGTAGTTCCAATTCCATTGTGATAACAAGATCCAAGATGAAATTGAGCTACGACATGTCCACCTTCGGCAGAGCTCAGATACCATTTAAATGCTTTCTCTTCATCTTGAGTGGTCCCAATTCCTCCCGAGTAAAAGGCTCCAAGGTTACATTGTCCGTGAGCGCTTCCACCTTCAGCAGACTTAAGATACCATTGAAATGCTTTCTCATCGTTTTGAGTGGTTCCGATTCCATGACGGTAACAATTTCCAACATTACATTGTCCAACAGGATCTTCACCTTCAGCAGACTTCAGGTAATACAGAAATGCTTTCTCGTATTCTCGGATGGCTCCAATTTCATTTTGGTAAAAAATTCCAAGCATCGTAGCATTTTGTGGGATATGCTGATAATTGATCAACAAACTTAAAACCCGTGCTGATGTGGTATTATTACTCTCGATGAATGCATTAATACAAGATAATAATCTCGAATTTGAAACCCCTTTACTTATTTGATCCACGATAAGTAGATATAATTCATTCAATGTGTTGAGTTCAATTTCTTTAATAAGTTCGTCATTTATAATAAGATTATTGGTGTTGCTTATATATTTGCTTTCGTGATATTGAATAATTTCTAAAATTTTTGGTGTATCTGATATAACAGTCTTATCTGTTAATTCAAGTAGTTCTTTGACCCTGATAATTTCAGGCCTCTTTTCTGGATTTTCGTCCCAACATGCTAAATACAATTTAATTAATTCCATTGATTGCTTAATAATTATTATCAACTAATAAAAGAAAAATTTATGTAAGCTGACCTTTATAAATATCGATGTATTCTTGAGGTGTTCCTTCTATGCTTTTTTCTCTAAGACCATCCAAAATTTGAATTGGCGTTACACCATACAAACAGTCCAAACTAAAAGGTGGATATCCGCTTGTAATCTCCCAAAGTAAAACTCCTAAGCTGTAAATATCCGATCTTTTTGTTTTCTTGTGATAAAACCCTTGGGCAGTTCTCTTAAAACATTGTGGGTCAATGTATGGTATTACTCCAAGTGGTTCATTAGCAGTTTGACTATTTGATATGTCTCTTAATTTTTTGGAAAGCCCGAAATCTGCAAGTTTTATTACTCCATTGATGGTCAGAATATTTTTTGAGTGCTACAAATAAAAATAATAGGTAAATATTACTTAAATTTAAAACTTCAAATGAATATTGACATTAAATTGATTACCAAATCGTTATGAACGATCTCCTTTTCGTGCAAATAAGCAATCGCATTTGTAAGTTGTTTAGCCATAAGTAATTTATTATCCCAATTTAATAATTTAAAATTCTCTTTGAGGTATTGCCGCAAAGTTCCATCAGCATATTCAATAATCATAAGATATTCTGTTTTTTGTGGGCCTGCTAAAATGATTATTTCATTGACTAATTTCCCCATAAAGCATACAAATAAATACTATTAAATAAAATACGAACATTACCTTTCTTAGAAATTCCGTAAAAGCGTAAAATGTTTTCATCATAATCAACATCTTGATGTAACTTCAGCTACGCAAAAATAATAAAAATATACTTGTCAAGAGTCATCTGCACTAATATAATACACAATTATAAATAACCACCTCATTAAAAAACACTCTTGCTGTATCTGTATCGAGAATATCGACTTCTTTAATTGCTACTTTCTTTCTAATAATTTTTGAAAAAGCTTCATATATTTTCCCGAAACCACCTTTTCCTATGAGCTGAATGTTCTCAAAGCTTTTAATTTCGAATTTTCTTAATGTCAGTTTACTTAAAGAACTTTCAAGTTCTTCAATCCATGCATTTCCTGATTGCGAATTTGCGGATATCAAATCAAAGGGTATCGTGGAATTTGGGGGCCACTCTCCTTTTGCGCCTAAAGTCTGTGATAATTTAAGACGAGCCTCAATTAACAATTCGGAATTCCTGTATATGGAAGAATTGGGTGCATTTTCACCAGACGCTACTTTATTAATCATCACTTTGGCGTAACTTTTAACTTCTGGATGTTGTCCCCACTGGAATTCGTTTTGATAAAGATCATCTAAAAATTTAACCGCGCCTTGTTGTATCTTCAAATCCCGTTGTGTACAGGCAAGCTGTCCTAAGCGTTGGCATAGGCCTATCAAAAACCATTTGTTCTTATTATAAGGACTCTGACGAACAAACTGCTCGAGTTTATTCAACTGATTTTCTTGAATAAAAATATCTATAAATCGTAGAGCCAAATACCATTGTTCAAACCCTACTCCTAGACGAATATCTTCTACTCCTCTTAATGTTTGATTCGTCTCGAATAATTCTCGAATTCGACTTACAAACTCATCAAAACCTTCAAATGCTTCACTGAAATCTTTAAAGGCATCCAGCAATTTACTTTGGTCTAAATTTCTTACCGAATCAACTAAATTAATACGCCCACTAACAATTTTAAA